TGTTAGCATCAGGCTTTCCTGATATTTATATTAAAAAAAACTTTGTCACATATTTTTTGAGTTATAACTGTCATTTTATCGTAACATATAGTAAAATGGTATTTAAACTCTTATGTATTCCTCATACTGAAAATAAGAGTAAACGATTATAAATAAATTCTTTTATATACGTGCATAAAAGCAAAAGAAAACTCAAATTTCGCATATTTCAAAGAAAGTATTCATACGCTTAAGAAAATTTTACATTTTTATATATGTACCAAGACCGCCGAGATTGCTAAAGGTTCAAATAAGAAATATAAAAGAATTATAAGAATATATTACCAACAACTGGTGTAACAAGAGCTGTCACAGGAGACAGCAAAGCTCGACTTATTAAATAATGGACGCAGTAAGGAAGACAAAACTACAAAAGAAAACTCAATTATAATTAAATATATTCCTGTATCAGTATCAAGAGAGCACTCAAATGTTTTATATTTTCGCACAACATAATATGCATATGATCTTGTCAATAAATGTTAAACAGACATTTAGAACTATGCTTTAAAGGAAAAGACAGCAATTTGAAATCTGAAGTAAATCCCATCAAAAACAAAAATGATAAGAGCAAACAAAAAATAAAAGTTATAAGTTCATAGAGGAAATAGCTCTTGAAAAAAGATGCTAGAGTTATGAACCTTGTCATGCATGATTTAAGTAATGACAAAAACAATTATTTATCTTAAGTCTAGAGTAGATACCATTTATAAACTAACAAATTCTAAGTTCAAAAATTAAATGGAGATAATTCTGGGAATACAGGAGCTTGTGTTTTATAACTCTTATCCATATGACCAAAAGTTAAAGTAAACAAATAACATTTGCTAGCATAAATTCCAAGTTCAAGGGGGAATAATTCTGGAAATAGTCACGCTAGAGTTAAGAACCTTGTCTCACAACATGTGTGTAATGATAAAAAATATATTTTGAAGTTTGAAGTACATGTAGATACCTTAAAAAGTAAAGAAGTTTCAATATTTTTTTAAAGAAAAATTCAAGTTCAAAGGGAGATAAATCAAAATATACTTTTAAGAGTTATGAACCTTGCCACATAAGATGTGGCTGATGATACGGAATATGTATTTGAAGTTTCATGTTGATACCTTTAAAACTTAGGAAGTTATAGTAAAAAACAACACTTTTCAAGTAAAACAATTTAAGTTCATAGGGGAGATAATTCTTGCAATATTTTTGCTAGAGTAATAAACGTTGTTGTCAAATAAGATGTGGTTAATGATGAGGAACATATATTTGAAATATGAAGTCTTTACAAATAAAGATGTAACAGTAAAATAATATTTTTAATGAAAATTAAGTTCAAGGGGAGATAAATCTAAAAATATTGGTGCTAGAGTCACAAAGATAAGGCTGGTGATAAGGAACATATATTTGAAGTATGAAGTTGATTCCTTAAGAAATAAAGAAGTAACAGTAAAAAAACATATTTTTTAATGAAAATTTTAAGTTCAAGGGAAGATAGATCTGACAATATTGGTGTTAGAGTTATGAACCTTGTCACATAAGTTGTGGGTGATAATAAGGAACATATAAGTTTGAAGTTGATACCTTAAGAAAGTTATAGCGAGAAATATTTGACTGCACCAAAACTTTAATCTGAAATCTGGACGCGGACGCATGGGCGAGTAGGACAGCTCTCCATATACTTCGTATAGTCGAGCTAAAAATGAAACGTTCACGTTAAAGTAATCTGGTTGATAATTTTTAAGACATCACGTAATATATGACGATATCTTCAAGCTTTCAGTAGCTGTAATTTTGCCTAGTAGCTGATGAGAAAAATGTACACAAAAAGTAAATGTTTTATTTCTGTCAATTTTAATGACACATTGCTATAGTGCGGTTTTAGAACTTGTGATGTAAATAGGTGTACTTAATACATACCAGCAAGTAGAACGTGGTGTATAGATTTTTAATCCAAATGTGACATACATTGTACGTATATTCAAAGAGCCTGAATGTCCTTTGTATGTTTTCTTCTTTATGTAATCCATTATGCTAGAGACTGATAAGTGAAACTGACAGGAAAAGGAAACCTATAGTAATCTTTACAAAATAGACTCTGTTAAAAACAGAAGTTCTGATTCATGTATAATACAGACAGTATACTACAGTATCCGCGTTATTTTACTAAACGTCTTATTTTACTTATCTTGTACTGAATAGTATAGCCGTGACTTTTATTTTACAACGATGCTACTATAGTGAAAACACAATGGTATAATAACACCATGTAAAAACATGATGTTAGGATGACGAAGAATATCAAAACTCAGTAGCTCTGTGCTGAAAACACGATTGTACGACTATGAAAATACAATGGTAAAATGATGAAAACACTGTGGTGCGATAATGAAAATACGATGGTACGATTATGAAAATACGATCGTAAAATGATGAAAACACTGTGGTGCGATTATGAAAATACGATGGTACGATTATGAAAATACGATCGTATAATGATGAAAACACTGTGGTGCGATAATGAAAATACGATGGTACGATTATGAAAATACGATCGTAAAATGATGAAAACACTGTGATGCGATTATGAAAACAAGGTGGTGCAATGATTTAAAATATGATGGCATGATGGTGAAATGGTGTGAGTGTTACACCCTGTAGAGATCCTTATGAAAAGAGTACCAAAAGTATAGTTATACTCGATGAATCGTACACCATAAATTTAGGTGCATGAAAAGCATGCGAAACATCAAATAGAGCCCTTGTGATCAAAATTATGATAAAAGGGAGAAGTAACATGTTTGTTACGATAGAAACATAACCAAAATAAAAGGAAGAAATTCCTCGTGTGTTGTTGCCTCATGATCAAATGGTTTTCGATGGTCCTCGATGCTTTTCACTTTCGGCTATTCTAACATAGCACCTTAGGCCTTTGGAGTTTTTCTTAACCTAACTTAGTGATCCTTAGACAGTAAGAGTTACCCATTTTTAAAATAAGTTTCAAAGAATTTAATGTATACTAGTAATATTTTTATAGATAACAAACGAACATACAAAAACAAATAGATGCTCTCAAATAACTAACATTTTCTTGTTTATTCAAAGACAGACGGACAGAGTGACGAACGGACAGAAAGAAAGACAAAAGGACACCCAGGTAGGTAAACAGAGAGACAGACGGAAAATGGCCGGACGGACAGAAAGACATTTTGACACAGACAGTTGTTTGTTGCAAGACGAACCGAAAATTTATTATATGTAAACTTATTTCTTGTCCCCATGTGTTTTGCTAATACATGTACAATAAATCTATAATTAATTTTACCTTGTATCAGATAAATGAATATATATTCGCTGTCAAGTTTTGGAGCACTAATCAGTGTCAAAAGTAGCATAGAGATCCCAGTGATGTTCAACAACTGCGAAAGTGTATAGTACACCACTTGGTGATTTATTCTAAAGGGTGTGGCAGTGCGGAGTTACAATGGTGTTTAATGATAAAAAAGTCACGATTGTCAAAATGGAATATCTTACAAAATATTATTTTATTTGCACTTATAGTTCAAAGTCTTCACAAGAAATTTTTATAATACATATATCTAACGATAGTTATTTTCAAATTTAAACACAATTGACAATTTATACAAATAACAAGAACAAGAAGAAGTTACACTTAACCTAAATAATAAGTTCCCTGTTTCAAAGACCTTTCTGTTATATTGTAAAACTATGTAGACAATTCTTTGGTGTAATTTTATAGGGAGTGATATTCATATAAGGCAAAAATTCAAGATATACACATGATATTTCTGTCTATATTTGTTTGTTAGTTTGTTTTTTCTGCCGATTTTTACATAATTATGTTCATCTGTTTATGGTCATATCTGTGCGGTTGATCCAACTTATCGGCTTTCCTGGATAACTAACCAGTAATTACCAAATTTCCGCAAATGACCGACTATTTATCCCACATGATTTCTGAGTCAGCGGTGTGTCAGACACAATGTCCAAGATCAGTTGTCACTAAGAATTGTTGCAATGTCCAAGGATCAGACCATCTACCCCTTGATTACTAACTGATGCTGTTCCTATGGATTGAAAATAAAGATTTAAAGATTTTTTTTAAAAACATGTCTCCGTGTAAAGACTGTCTCCTTTGTAATCTTGAAATACGAGTATGTTGCCTGGTAAATTCAGAAATGATCAAAAAATGGACATATATATCTTAAAATGTATTTTATATGATAACCTTTGTAGACATTTCTGTTCAATAGCTCTTTACAACATGTGTATAGTATAGCATGGGAATAAATGATTACAACTCATAATAAAGCTAGAATAATAATAATAATAATAATAATAATGACAATAATAATAATAACAATAATAATAATCATTATAATGATTATAATGATAATGATAATGATAATAAAAATAATATGATGAAGATGCTTGATGCTAGCAATGACGTAAATACTAATGATGACGACAATGATAAAATGACGATGATGATTAATGATGATGATGATGAGGGGGAGAATTGAGGAGGACGGTGACGATAATGATATCAGTCTTCTTCTGATTATTTTTTTGTCTGTTAACGCAATGTTATTGTAGGTAAAGCCTTGATTTTAAATGCATGGACGAGTTTTCAATTTATTTTACGCCTATTTGCATTCATTTTCATTATTTAGTTTGTAATTCTGTCATTGTTTTAAGAGTTTAAAAATGTTAAGTTAAGGTTTCTACTTTATATAATTCTTATCAAACCGTTTGCAAAAAAAAGTTTCGTTATTGGGTGACTGAAAATTTCTCATCGGAAGGTCTGAAAATTGAGGAAGACAAATTGTTTGGCTTTACTGCAATTGGTCGGTCTTTAAAATGAAATCATACGATGCGACAATTCCTCTGTCGTATTGCTTTTTAACCGTGACGCGTCATAACGCCCGCAGACACTCGCGAATGTTAGCTTAATTTGTAATAAAATTCCAACCAGTATTTTTCCTTCATGTCAGTGTTTGTCCAGTTTTATTGTTAATTTATTACATTCCATCAATCGGAGACGTCTTATTTGATTTGAAAGAGCTAAAAATCACAGATTCCAATTTCCTCGTTTAATTTCCTTTTGTATTGGGAAATTAACATTCTCTGGATAATTTAGCTAGTAAAAACTGACGTGGACAAATGGTTCTAGTTTATCCCTGGGAACTGCCCATTCTATAACGGAATAGATATATATATTAAATTACATTTGAGATTGTAGCTTGGTTTTAAAATCGGAAAACAACAGGACACTAGACAGCAGGGATCTATACACGTTAGAAGGTATTTTTTTGTTTCTTTTTTATCTTCCTTTTTTTACTTTTTTTTCATTTCTGATACTTGTTGTTGTTTTTCATGAATAATTTTTATTCACTTAGAATTTTTGGATATTGTTCATGTGACAGATACAAAAATGTAATCAGTGAGTAACTTTTATTCTCTATATTGTTTTTATTTTTTATTTTTATTACTATTATAAGTTTAATTTTGTAAACATTTTGGTATTTCACACACAAGTATATTATTACTTTTTGTTTAATTTGTGTAACTTAATTTCAAAAAATCTGTAACTGTATGAACTTTAATGAACGTGAACTTGGAAAAAGTAAATCCTGCCAAAATTGCTTTGTTATAAAACGACTTTAATAAACAACAAACTGCTGTTTTAGAGACAAACGAAAATATGGAAAGTAATTAAATTTAATATCCGTAAAAGTGTCACGTGTTTAATCTCGGTATTTTAATAGATCTAGATAATTTAGAATGTCTTTCATTTTGTGTACATTGACAATTTTACCGAACTCATATGCACCGATAAGATGGGTTTTTTTTAACTGCTTATCCATCTATCGCAATTCATGTAAAGAAGCGCAGCAATCTTTAGATGTTTTGAAGTATCCAACCCTATATTTCGGAAGGAATGAAATGGGACATCTTTGAAATAAGTCAGAAAATATATTTATATTAGAATAAATGTACAGATATTTTCAATCTATGATAAAACTTTGAATGTTTACTGCTCTTATATATTAAAAAAATGGTAAGGGTTTTAAAAGAGAACGAGAATTATCTGCGTGTAGTAATAAATTATAGGTAATTTTTGTAAGTAGTAGTTGCCTTAGGGTAGCTTTAATCAGTTAACTGTTTTATCTGACATCATTAAACTTAAGTGTCCACGACAGAATAAACATATCATATTTAAGGCGTGCCGCGTGCAAATCTTTTAAAATATCTAAATTCTGCCTCATGACACTTTTGTCGATTTTGCCACATACCATTGTCGGTTTATTATTTTCATAACATTTTTAAAGGCAAATTAAAATTAAGAATATTGTAAGTTAAATTGTATATCTAAATTGGCAAAAAAACTTATTAATGTTATAAAGAGCGGACAAAGTTCAGACGGTATGGGCTTAGAAGGCACCTTGCACTAAACACTGCTGTTAATTAAATATGCTCAATAAACATCTTCAAGTTTCCCATGATTTGTAACTCTTTCGACCGTTTCCTTATCAGTAGAATAATAATTGCGTTATTCTTTAATTCATTCTATCTGGATATATTTGTGTGGCGGCGTAAAGAACGCAATACTTCCGTCGTGAAATTCCGATGCTTTCGCCACTTTCCGTGTCACGGTACGTGACAGTGAATAATAATCGAAATGAACCCAGAGTTTGTATCATTGAGAGACATTATCGTGATCTCGCTGTGACATGAAAAATATATTGATTTAAAGCAATGTACTCAAGTTCTTTACTTTGGTCAAAGTTTAAAAGTTCAAAGTTTAAACAGTTTTCTGAAATCAGGATTTAATAGTGTAAAAACGTGCCACAAAGCTTCATGTGTTTGCCTCCTTCTTGAATACGTAGTTCTCGGATTACGTTTCAAGGTGCGGTGATAGACCTAATTACCACCATACGTCTAGAGACAATGCTTAGCCACTTCATTATTAGCATCATTTACAATACAAGTATGTGTAGAGGCGATCACTTAACTTGTAATGAGCTACTTTAGCAAGGAAATTATACTCGCACCTTTGTTTTTGAATTTATATATAAAATGTGTCTTTTATGTCTATTGGAAATACTCATAATATACTGAATCTTTGTAATAGATTTACCTTGCTTTAAAGTAAGGACAGTTCGCTTATTGTTTTAAGGGTTTTGCATAACAAAATACAAAGAATGGGCTACCAACACCAACATAGAGCCTGTCCAGGCTGCCCGGGTGTTGAAGATGACCTGCCTCTATACTGGTAGAAAACGTTTTCAGTCCCTGTATGGTAAGGGCTAAAACTTACAACGAATCTGTTTATCTATCTACATTATTGTCGACGTCACACCATGCCACTGTACACGGTTTTAACTTGATATATACATTATCTTCAACTATCCATATGCAGAAAATGTCACTTTATAAAACGATTTTTTTAATTATCTTTTTCAGTAAGTTTGAGCAAAGAAAATGCAACTTTGGGTCCAGACGATTGTCACTGTATGCCTTATTGCCTCGATTATTGTATCAACATGTCTGGGAAACTCGGTACCATCTACGATAGGAGATGACGAGAGACAGGTCTGTAGTCTACTTCTAATTTTTATCAGTAACATTTTTACATTATTTCAACATAACTTCGATGAAACGAAGTCTGGCGTGTACACCCCATTTTTTACGGTTGCTGAAACTGCTAGGCCAGGTGCATTCTGGCGCGCATTTTGGATTATAACAAAATACCTGTTTGAGCATCACTAGTTGATATATAGTCACAATTGTGCAATTATACAGTAGCTAATTGGATCCCCCGATTATTATTTATGTTTTGTATTTGATGTATGTGTCCTTCATTTAATTAAATTTTTGTGAATTTAATTTGAAACAAGTATTATAATAAATATTACGTTTTAGTCCTTGATTGATATATAACAAACTGCTAAGACATGCGCACAATACCGGACAGGTGGGCATAATTGCTCTTGACATGTAACTCCGATAAGAGCATGCACTTCTTCATTTAGTGGTCAAATATAACACCATTTTTAACTTTTTTTCATGAATTTTAAGTTGCAAATATACAAGTTTTACATAAAGTATTGGAATATCACTCATGACGGATGACACAATAGTTTACAGATTTGCTGAGTACACTAGTCATTAAACATTTATTTTATTTTAATTTATATTTGATATAATTGATTCATACGTTTTTAGGAAACAACAGTAGCATTGAAATGGTTAAAAGGAATGTAGATAAAATTTATATCATGTTTTTTTGTTTTGGAATTGTAGTTGGAGAAAATAGTCTTATGCAAATGGTGATATGACGTGTATATTTTAATGTATTTATAATGATATTAATTACATTATATTACTCACATTTTTTGTATTTTACATACAAGAGATGCCAGGTACAACTTAGGTTATTATGGTTCTAGTTTTGCTATGCGTATTTTGTAGTAAAGTACGATTAAATTAGCTTTAAAAACAATATCATCATGATTGATTCAACTGTTTATATTAGACCACAGGGATTAATAAATGTGTTAAATATATCATTGTTATAGTAGAGGAGCTCTGTTTATATCATATATGTCAATGATTATGTCACGGTTATTAATTTTTTCATTAAATCTTATTTCTATAAAAAAATAGCATTCTGCTTCAATTTTTTTTTGCGATAAAAGTCAAATAATTAGACATATTGTGGTATTTTTTTAACTAAAATGAGAAATAGCTTTCAGATATTTATCCGTAATTTGATACGGTCTGCAGAAATTTCCGCTACATTTACTTAATTATATACAGTATCAAAACTTTTAATGATTGACAAGTAAACCGTCTCTCATTTCCTTTGCTGTATAATGGACAAGACAAAAAAAATGTCGTAACCATAGGTTACAATGAGACACGTGCGACTTACTACCGTACAACTACAAACAGCCATTGGTTACAATGAGACTCGTGCGACTTACTACCGTACAACTACAAACAGCCAATGGTTATAATAAGACACGTGCGACTTACTACCGTACAACTACAAACAGCCATTGGTTAATATGAGACACGTGCGACTTACTACCATACAACTACAAACAGCCATTGGTTACAATAAGACACGTGCGACTTACTACCGTATAGCTACAAATACCCATTGGTTACAATAAGACACGTGCGACTTACTACCGTATAGCTACAAATAGCCATTGGTTACAATGAGACACGTGCGACTTACTACCATACAACTACAAACAGCCAATGGTTACAATGAGACACGTTGCACTTACTACAGTACAACTACAAACAGCCATTGGTTACAATAAGACACGTGCGACTTATTACCGTATAACTACAAATAGCCATTGGTTACAATAAGACACGTGCGACTTACTTCGTATAACTACAAACAACCATTGGTTAAAATAAGATACGTGCGACTTACTACCGTATAACTACAATCAACCATTGGTTATAATAAGACACGTGCGACTTACAAACGTATTACTACAAACAGCCTTTGGTTACAATAAGACACGTGCGACTTACTACCAGCCATTAGTTACAATAAGACACGTGCGACTTACTCCGTATAACTACAAACAGCCATTGGTTAAAATAAGATACGTGCGACTTACTACCGTATAACTACAAACAGCCATTGGTTATTTTAAGACACGTGCAACTTACTACCGTACAACTACAAACAGCAATTGGTTATAATAAGACACGTGCGACTTACTACCGTACAACTAAAAACAGCCATTGGTTACACTGAGACACGCGCAACTTACTACCATACAACTACAAACAGCCATTGGTTAAAATAAGATACGTGCGACTTACTACCGTATAACTACAAACAGCCATTGGTTATTTTAAGACACGTGCAACTTACTACCGTACAACTACAAACAGCCATTGATTATAATAAGACACGTGCGACTTACTACCATACAACTACAAACAGCCAATGGTTATAATAAGACACATGCGACTTACTGAAGTATAACTACAAACAGCCATTGGTTACAATAAGACAAGTGCGACTTACTACCAGCCATTGGTTACAATAAGACACGTGCGACTTACTACCTTACATTTACAAACAGCCATTGGTTACAATAAGACACGTGTGACTTACTTCCGTATAACTACAAACAGTCATTGGTTACAATAAGACACGTGCGACTTACTCCGTATTTACTCCGTACAAACAGCCATTGGTTAAAATAAGAGAAGTGCGACTTACTACTGTACAACAACAAATAGTATAAGTTATATTAACAAAACAGGAGTAATTCGGGAATAATAATGCACACAAGAATTAACGTGTTCAGTTCATACACACAAAACAACAACAAAAACATATTTTATTTGCAATTTCGTGACGTAGAAAGGTGATAATACAATTATAGTTTGATAGCTTTACGTATTTCGAATAGAAGCCTTACTTCAAACTATCTATCAGTCCTACAGTTTTCTGTTATACAATATTTTAATACTTAATGCCAAAAACCCGTATGATAATTCTATACCGTGTAAAACTGAAACTCGTCTCATCTTCAGCTATATGATGCTGTATACATGATAAATAACGAAAATTATCATATCCAATCTTCTTAATACGTAATAAGTGTTTGAAATAAATTTTTGTCCAACAGAATTACAGTATTTCAAATGAATCATATCACATTTTCTTTGGTATTTCGACTAAATTTAATCAGTCTAGTAAATCGACAGTTTTATAGAAATAATTTCAAACGCTAAATTGGTAAGTATTTGTTAGTAAGCATCTACTACATTAAATTGGTCGAACGGCTACGCCGTTCTTGACCAATTTAATCTGATTTTACAAATGCTAAACACTAACCGTTACTTAATTGACAATCTACAATTATAAAATATTTTGCCTGCGCATGCGTCACAGCATATTGATAAGTTGGCTTGCATAATGTCATTATTGTTTCGATATACATGTATAAAATTTTCTAACCAATTGAATCTTTTCCCCCTATAATTTTGGAATTTAAGCAATACAGAAATATCTCCTGTATCGTTGCATCTCCAGGCTTTAATTTAAAAAAATCAAATTATCGTTGTTAGAATGTATATTCTTATATTATTTATTTCTGCATTTTTACATAAATGATTATTGCTGTTTCAATGCGATTTGTTTTTGTTTTCTTTTCTTTCGATGTATTTTTTGAATACTATGTTATATTTATAATCAAATCATCTCTGACTTGTAATTACTGGAAATAGGTCGAATGAGTGATTTTTCTATAGCTTTTTAAGCATTATTACTCATTTTATTGCTTTGTTGCCATAAACAACTATAATACTGCATTGTGGGCCAACAAATGAAATGATTTAGATGTAATGTCATCATAAAAACAGGCTATTAATGTGTTAATCATTGCAATTTGTCAACATCTCCAAAGGAACCAAGGGATTTGAAATTTCATTTAGTGAATTAGCTTATAAGATGTGTTGATTGATCCTGAAACTTGCTCTTCTGTTTTGTCCTCTGCAAGATTCATTTAGGGGTTTATGAAATTGCTGTGTACCAAATCACAGTAATTATTCGACATAGAACACCTTTGCTAGTCCAGCATCATTCAATAAAAGCAAATTAAAGACTTACAGATTGTATTTCTGTCAGTCAATTCATTTTGTATAAAGTTAGATGCTGTTAAAACATGGATGCTTATATTACATGTATGTCAAGCATACGAACAAACACCATTGTCGTATTGTGAGAATAAATGTGAACACGATCACCAAAAAATTATTGTAAAGCGTGGTTTAATTATTTAAATTATTAATGTGATTGATTTTTTTAAAGTGATCAGTTTAGCAAGATTTTTAGATTAGTGTATTTTTTATTTTTTTCCTTTTTTCCTGACTGAAAAGGAATAACAAACCTCTTATAAATTATATGTAGATTATTTGTATAACGATAATGCCGGGCTAGACTTTAGAATCTGTTCGCGGGTATTTTTAACATTATCGCATGGCTGTGAGCTTTTCCTTTGTTCTTTCTAACCCATTATACTCAGTACACTTCAATGAGCATTTCAAAACTGTATTGATATATAACAGTACAGTTTTTTCATTGATTCATATAGGAAAAAAAACTCGACTGTTATATATCGGTCGAGTTTTTTTCGTACCTTGTATATATCAATACAGTTTTTTCATAGAGGCTCCAATGGGGCAGTGGTAACGACCATTCCCAGTAGCAAAAAAAAAACATAAAATAATAAAAAAATGAAATCAATAAAATCAAATAAATAATTATATAAATACAATGAAAAATATAAACAAAGATAATTAATGAAATGAAAAAAGCCCTTTAATCTTAAATCAATCTTGGTAACAGTATACAATCCGCCTCTTATATTGGATGTCTTTTATATATTTTTTGCGGCAGCGAAAACAACTTGAAAAACTGCCTTATGATAAATAACTATAATGTAGCTAACGATTAATTTATTTATTTGTTTCTATACAAAAAAGAAAACATTATGCCATTGCGATAAAACAGTTATGGTATATGAAACTCGTTAGTTACGGGGGTATAACACTGGCTGGGGCGACATCTCGGGATGTTTCTGAAAAAAAAAATTGTCTCGGCCTGACGGCCTCGCCATTTTTTAGCAGAAACACCCCTTGATGTCGCCCCATCCAGTGATATACCCTCGTAACTAACTCGTTTCATATACTATAACTATTACTTATAATTTTACCAATTTATGTTTCTCTACAAAATCACTCATACTTCTAGGGTTAAGGCTGGGGATAAGGGTTAGTGTTATGGGTCAGGGTTATAGTGAAGAGGGTTATGCCTTAGAGTTAGGATTTTAAAACATAGATTTGCAGCGGGCAGATTTATAACGTGTTTATTCTGCCTTTTTCGATGCCTACACGTTCATACCATTCTTTAGAAAATGAAATCTTGATTAATTGTATTTTTATTTATCTATTTATTTTTTATTTAATTATTTAACTTAAAGTTTTCATTTGACAGGTAAGTTACTATCTAATTATCTATTATCTATTATGATTTTTTTCTTCGATATGTTATACAGCCATACGATTTTATAGATAACCTTTTTTCCATTTTCGGGCATTTTCTTAAAATATGTGATTTGTGAAGATTTATAAAAAAATACCATCCATTCATGACGGATAATAAGATAGTATTTTACCTGTCAAATATCATGAACTACATTTGTATGCTATAACTTTTTTGTCAGAAAAACTGTTCAGTTTAAGGGAATAAGAGTATCGAATATTGTGGTGAGGGAAAAATGTGTCGCAAAATTTCTTGCACTAATTTTATATCAATCACTGTAGTAAAGACAACTTAAATACTACTGGGAATCATTAATGTTTTGTCTTGACGACTTTAAAAGGGTGAAAAAATGATATTGTCGTTACGCTGGTAGTAGTAATGAAGGCCAATTTTCAGTGTCTGTGCGTCAAATGAAACCTTTTAATCAAGGTGTATGGAACGCCATAGCTGCCTCATGCTATTACATTTCTTTTTATCTTGCCCAGAAAGCGTCTTATTATGTCAAATATAAGCGTTGTTAATGCTATTGTAATTTGTCGACTTGTCTAAACATTGCCTTATTATACCTAACAGTAGTCTTATCTTTTTAAAATGTGATGTTGACTTGTGTTAAAATTGTTTAATCATTTCAAAAAGTAGTGTTATCATGTCAAAAATGTCCTTTTGGCTTGTCTGAAATGTGTCATATTATGTCAACTAGTCTCGCTATTTGGTCAAATTGTGGAGCTGTTTTTTTTCAAAAGATTGTCTGATCATTTAAAACAGTAGTTTTCTCTTGTCGAAATTTGGTGTTGACTTGTAAAAGCACAGCTTTATTTTATCAAACTGCCATGTTATTTTTTCAAAAAAAAAAAACGGTGTTAAAATGCCTAAACATTGTCTTATTGTGTCAAACAACTGTGTTAATTTGCCAACGTACTTATAGACTAGCCATCACCACGTTTCGACAAGATGATATGACTATTTGACATAATAAGACGAAGATAGACAAGTTAAATCTGCATGTGGACATAATAGCATGACAGTTTGACAAATTAAAATAGCGTTATAACAGTTTCATAACCATGAATTTTGTAAAGATACCACCATTATTTCACATAATAAGACGGTGTTTAGGCAAATTAACATAATGTTTGGACAAAATAGCATGGCGATCTGAGAAAATAAAGCAGCATTTAGACATGTCAATACCATTTTTCGACAAGTCAACAATACTGTTTGACATAATAAAATATCGTTTACACAAACAAACAAAATTTATTGGCAAGTCAACATTAGTATTTCACATAATAAGTATATTTTAAGACAGGATAACAACAGTTTCAGACAAGACAGCATGATGTTTTGACACAATAAGACAGAATAACACCACCTCATACAAAGCAACAAAACAGTTTGACAAAACAGGACAGCACTCAGCCAGGTAAATATAACGGCTGAACAAGTTATCACTACTAGCCGACATAATAAGACATGAGTTTGACAAGTTGACACCAAGTTCCGACAAGATAACACTACTGTTTCACATAATAAGACAATTTATAGACAAATTACCACCACAATTGGACAAGACAGCATGCTATTTTGACATAAAAGACATTCTTTAAGCAAGATAACACCGAATTTGAACTCAATGACATGGCAGTCTGACAAAATGTGACGGTGTTTAGACAAGTCAATATCACATTTGGACAAGACAAAACGACAGTATAAGATAACACAACAGTGTCATAACATACCAGGATCACATTTGGACAAGATGACACCACCAACTTCCGACAAGATAACACTACTGTTTCACATGATAAGACAAATTCAAGACAATTCAACACCACATTTAAACAAGTCTTTGTTCAGACATAATGAAATCTTAATTCGAAAAGATGGCGTGCATGTTAGACATATTAAGTTTCCATTCGGCATGTTAACACCGGATTTACACATGATAACATGACGTTTTGAAATAATAAGACAGTGTTTAGACAAGTCAGCACTACGTTTTGACAAGATAAAATGAATATTTGACCTAATAAGACTTCGTTAAGACAGGTTCTCATAAAATGTTGGCAAGCCAACACTTCTATTATACATAATAAGACGCTTTTAGGGGAAAATAAAAAAAGAAATGTAACAACATGAGGCAGCTATGGCGTTCCATAAAGGTGTATCTACATATTCACACAACAACACATTATTATGAGGCGAACGCAATTTCTTTTTAAATAAAGAAAAAACAAAAAGCTATCCTAAATGTCTTTTAAAAGTAACTACAACTTGCATTTGTTATGTTTTGCAGGAAATCGCTGCATTAGCGGCAAGAATTCTAAAGATAATAATGAACGATTCCCGAACGTTTTACACAAATGGTAAACGAAATGCTGGAACTATAGATTCTCTCTACAATCTACCGGACCTTTTAGGAGTTGGCAGAAGGTATGATCCTCGTGATATCTTTAGGTGATATATTCACAGTTTTATTTTATTTAGCATCACTGTTTATAAGGGTCATAAGCGGCATCTATGGATTTTAACAAATATTTCAAAACGAATCATTTCATTACTTCAGCATTATTCATGAAGTTAAATTCACCAAAATTCACCAATGTATTGAGATACATTGCAAAACATTCAAGTACCGTATATTTTTATAAAGGACCTATAGGTGTTTGACTTATATTTAGGTGTTATAAATAGTTACATCGGTATATCACGTTTTCAATATAACATAGAAATATTTAACATTAAAAACAACAAAAAGAAGGAAAATAGGCATTCAGTTGTAATTTTGTTACTTACTAAAATAGAGCGAAATAAAGAAAAAAAGAATAAGGAAAAATATCTTAATACTAAGGGCATATCATTTGATTTAATATTTTATGGCTAGTTATTATATTAAGTTCATTTTCATCAACTATTGTCTATATTTCAGGTGATACAACACACGGACAGGGAACATTTCTAACTATGACTGATCTATATTCATTTTCCTTTTCTGCGTCTTTATGAACTTGCAGAGACATTTCAAAGTCATTGTTTTGTTCCGATTTGATATGAAATAAATGGACATACAATTTCAAATTTGACGTTCTTCTGTAGATACATTAACTTATATTGTAACAATTTATAACGAATACATTCTCCTTTCCTTTCTCCTGCCTAAATAAGGTGATAGAAGTTAATTGATATTTTCAGGATATCCACATGTTTATCCAGTTGTTGATTTTCAGTTAACAATTTTAGAATTTTTTATCAAACTATATAACTGTATATTAAGCTCAAAGCTTGATATAAATTAGGTCAGTTCCTTTAAGCTTGTTTTAAGCAGTAGTTTGTACTTTAAATCCCAGACTGCAGTATATAAAAAAAATTGTCAACATTTCATTCTGTATTCTTTATCACAGCATATATTAATACAAACATTTCATTAGTAGTTAATATTCGGGGAGAAATGACAACAACTTTTTCTACACTTCACAAATTTGCACAGGGCTTGTCCATTAACGGCCTTATAGAAGGTATTAAAGTGTCAAATAACAGATTCGCCAGCTTTTCTTATATTAGTAATTTGTCGACGTTTATAATATAACAGTGTGAGGTTTCATAAGCAATGATGTAATGCCAGATTTCAAGAAGAATTACATTTATTTCTTATGTTTCCAAGAAATATAGATGTCGCTCATATGAATTGATGTAAAGGTGGCAGTTGCAGGACATAACAAATACAAAAATAATTTAAATTAAGATATGTTAATATAAATTTATTCATCATCAATTAGTTAATTTATTCCTTTACTTATATTATTGTTACACACGTGTGTTTACGATCTATATCAATTACTAAGCTTTCATGATATAAAACAAATATCTACGTAAACTATTCTAGGTAACTGAAAATCAGTCAGGAATTTAAACTCATCCATCACAAAGCAAACAATATGATTTGTGTTTTTAAGTTTATTTATACTTGGCGCCGGCTATCGGCCTCTGTTACGTCGCTGCTCATAGAGCCATTATGGCGGATTCAGTTTAATCGATGACCGTAAAGCCAAAACGGAGGTTTATCGTCGTAAAGATCTTCATCCCAGGGCCAAATTCTTCGCATCGTAGAACAAATGAAGATTGAAAGGCACATCTTTTGAGAGCCACGGAGTAACAAACAATTAAACAAACATGTACAATTATATTATCTGGAAGTACCCCTTTACACCAGAAATCAAATATTCCATTCGGCCAATCACAACAATGGATACAATCGGGCAACTCGTGATAAAGATGAATTTTAGTATGGGGCCAATCAATGCAAGAGAATGACAATGTATTGGAACAATCGCGGTAAGATAAAAACAATGTACGGGGCCAGTCACAGCAAAAGAAAATGTATCGGACGAGTCAAGACAAAGGACGAACACTGTAACGGACCAATCAGAGACTGATTGAAGACAAATTTTAGGTCATACAGTTCTATAATAGGGCATGATAAGTTGGTATTAAATATATACAATATTTATAGCCATATAAATATAAATATCTATACTCCAGTCCGTAATCACGGAACTCCAACAAAAGATATACGCTTTCTAATCATAAACATATAGGGGAAGAAAAAGAAATGGTAGAGCTAAATAATTACTTATATCGTATATCTTTTTTAATTGAATATAGACAGATTCTGTATTACCACCGTCACCGGAGATCGACATGCATAGTACACAACATTTACAATAGAACATCAACTAGCATAATTAACATAAAACAGACAACATTATAAAATGAATAAACACACAATCATAATAATATAAGATTATGTTAAGTATACAAGCAAACATTAAACATTGGTATGTTGTGCATAAAGACGGGAGACACATGGAAATACCATTTATTTTTACGTTATCATTTTATGAAATGAGTTCATAAATAATAACACTTTTTATCATTAAAATAAACACTGGCCAAGTAAGCCCAATACCTGATTTAATGGAAAGCTTGAAATAAGTGTTTAGTATGCAATTATATCGCAATTTAATATAAACTCAACCCACATGTGTACACGAATTGGTTCGTAACAAGAACAGAACATTAATAAATGTAGTGTTGTACTTTCAGATTGCACGTTTTGCATATCCCAATCATTTTGAATGAAAACAACTTAGTAAAATATGTCAGACCAGAAATGCAGAAATCTTGCCACCGACTATTTGACTTCTCATGTTTTGTCAATACCAATGCATATTTATTCAATCTGATGAAGTTATCGTCCTTTTATTTGTGTAGTTTTCCTGAAAACGAGATTTAGTTTCGGAAATTTCAAAAGCCGTTATGGTATATACAACAACGGACTAGAAATCTCACAGAAATGACGAGTATTTTCAGTCATAATACATGTAAATAAAATGTTTAAAGTGAATAAATCTATATACCTGTTACCTGTAATTAAAAAAGTATTCTTTGAATTTTGAAAAAGAATACTAGCAAAACACTTCAATCTATGAAAGGAATATGTAAGTATAATTTATAAAAAGCCAATACCGCATATATACGATACCATTGCTGAACTCCTAAGAATGGCAGCATGAACATTTTTATTATATTTACATAAAATGTGTGTTAAATAAAAGAAACATTCTATAGTACGAAACTTTCGGGAATCTACCATAACATAAATAGAAATTACATAATTTTACTGTTTATATTTTTTGATATTTCATTAGATATAGTTTTATACATTAAAGGTCCAATTAGAAACGTTTTCTTGAGATTCGCTGGGTTGATATAAATGTTGATTCGATGGAAAGAAAATGTATCGTTAAATAGGAAAAAAAATAGAAATCCCTAAAGAACGTCCAAAACGGCAGAAATGAAAAATTTGCAGGCTAGGTTTTATTGGGCCTGTTTATGGACGGTACTTTAAAGTGCAAACTACCGACCACGCCCGCTAGCACCGGCTTAAAAAGAATTCAACATTTGTATTTGCAGATGTCTTCATACCACGGTTATCCTGGAGCCTTAAATGAGACACGTTAGTGTTATTTCATAAAAAGCGGCATGTGACCCCTACTTAAAATAATGAAATATATGATCCGAGTGCTGAACAGACTTAACTTCAAATGAATGTCACGTTATGCATTAAAAACATAACATCATCTTTCTTTGTTATACATCAAAAGTCACTTGGTAGAACGACTTTCAATCCGTATTATTTCCGATATGATCATGAATAATAGACGAGATGTTCCGATTATTATACAGCGTAGGGTACATGGAATTCTTGGATTTTTTTTCAGTTGGTGTTATCGTCTTATAGAATGCTTTTGTAGACTTTCCTTGTTACATGTAACCCATTGTCTTTGAATTCGATGTTTCAATAAAGAAACAAAATTACTAAAAATACAGACACAATATCAGTCTCAGCATAACTAGGTTCGCAAATTGTTTACGTACAATATTTATGTGTTTTTAATATTATAGACATTCTATTTTGCAACTTTTTCGAGAATTGACTATAAGATAACGAAAATAATATTCTTGCAATGGAGACTGGGGTGCCAGATGAGTCGCGTGCCTTACATCAACTTTATTTAGCGCATTTTTTTAATGAACCGCGTTAAAATGACGTCATTTTAGAAGGGAACTGTGTGCTTAGGGTGACGTCATTTCGCCGTTGTTATTTTAGTTGTAAATTCATACGCTATTGTGTGAAAATGGTTATGGATGAAAATGCTCATTTCCATGAGCAAATAACTTATTGAGGTAAACCATTTTAAATATATAATAATATGGCAGAATATACAAGAAAAAATATCTGACATATGTTTGCGGTTCGGATCGGAATAGCCGTCCCTCGGATGGGCGGGGTCCCCTCGGGACGGATATTCCGATCTGAACCGCAACATATGACAGACATTATTATTATTCAACGGTTGATCAATTTTATACAAAAAAAAATATTTATAACATAGCTTTAAAAATTGAATTCATTCACGTCTTAAATTTGATGTGCCTTAGTCATCATTTCTTTCGTTCGTATACATGTACGTGCGTTCAGCGCTTTGGTCTCATTTGTAGTATTAATGGTTTCATTTTCTATCAAAACACTTCAGCTCTAAAATTAAACCATCGAATTCCAAAACAAGTTTGAAATGTGACCTAAAACGTTTATTTCCATATATTATGTAAAAAAATTATGACTTGCTAATTTGCTCAGGTAGTCTGAAACTACATTTTCATAATGTTTGCACCATGTGCTGGTGAAAAAATCATCGCAATCTCCTCAATATCCATACAGGTGGAGCTAAGAACACGAGACATGTCTTTGCATCGATTGTATACACTATTATGAAAAGATACTTGTTATACAGACTTAAATAACGTCTTTATTGTCCCCCGCCTTTTCGAAGAAAAAAGGGGGATGTAGAAATAGGCTCCGTCTGTCCGTCCGTCTGTTTGTTCGTCTGTCCGTCCGTCCGTCACACTTTCGTGTCCGGTCCATAACTTTGTCATTTATAAAAGGAATTTGAAATAACTTGGCACAAATGTTTATTATAATAAGACGATGTGTCATGCACAACAACCAGACCCCTATATAACATAGTCTGTTACAGGGTATATTTCGTGTCCGGTCCATAACTTTGTCATTTATCAAAGGGATTCGAAATAACTTGGCACAAATGTTTGTTATAATAAGAAGATGTGTCAAGCGCAAAACCAGACCCCAACCTCCAGGGTCAAGGTCGCACTTGCTTATTCAAGGTCAACATTGTCTATTTGAGGGTATATGACGTGTCCGGTCCATAACTTTCTTATCTATGAAGGAATTTTGTAAATACTTGCCATAATTGTTTACAATAATCAGACGATGTGTCATGCGTAAAAACCTGTCACCTACCTCCAAGGTCAAGGTCACACTTGGAGGTCAAATACTTACATAGTCTGTTACAGTGTATATTTTGTGTCCGGTCCATAACTTCTTCATAGATTAAGGGATTTTGAAAATACTTGCCACAAATATGCACAATGAATAGATGATATGTCATGCGTAACATCTGTGTCCCTACCTCCAAGGT